TCAGTATTATTATTGCACCGAGCGCGCATCACCGCAAGGGAGATCGTTATAGGAGTTATACCTGGAAGACTTCCTGATCTTTGGCACAGGACGACTGGATGTTTTCTTCCTTGGAGTAGACTACTTCGGCAGTTTTTTGGTTGCCTCTCGGTCTCCAAGCTTTCTAGCAGTGTCGCCTTCGTCGTCGCTTAAAACCACCTTCCTCTTGCGAGAATTTGGCTGGCCGACTGGATCAGGAGCACTTGGTTGAGTTTCAGACCGAATTCTTGGTCCACCGCTCCCTTGCCCAGTTTGGTGGTAGGGAGATCGGTGTTGAGCGATTGGGGGATCCGACTTCATCAAAGCAAATTCCTGGGCGTGATATCCTTTATTGTTAACTGATTCAACAAACAGATAAGACTGTATTTTGAGAAAGGCTGAGATGTTTGAGTGCATACCGGTGGAGGAGGGTTGAATGCATTGAATGGCACAACGGGCAGCAGATGTGAATAGCTGACAACAATAGCGTTTGAGAAGATCTTGTACATTCTTTCTTTCATGACCTTAAAGTCAAGAGAATCTGGATCTTCCCGATTTGGATCATGCTTGCCATCAAACTCAAAAGCCGTGCGGGATCTCTCTTTGATTGGAGCTAATCGACTTTTGATGAAGTGCCGAGTGATCTGTTCTCCCTGCAAACCTTGTTCCTTCAGTTTTAGCATGCGTTCCATCAATTCCACTGCCTGAGCAGCTTCATCTCCCATAGGCAATGAATTCCATGTGTCCTGGTAGACCGGAGGAAGACAACAGTACTCGGGGAGTGCGGGCTTAGGATTCTGAACATAGAACCAGTTTGCATGCCAGCCTTTGTTTGAGGTTTTGAAGGGCATGGAGAAATATTTTTGGCTCAAGGTTCCTCTGAGTTGGAAACCAGCTCCCCCAACAACGCACGGTTTGCTCTTGTTTGGCTGGGGCTTGAGGAAGAAGATGCGGCGGAACAAGGCGAAATGAGGCCTAATGCCAGAAAAGCTTCGCAGGCATGGATAAAATTGGCAATATGCACTATGGAGTTTGGATTCAAGTGATGCAAGCTAATCCCGTAGAAGTTCAGAATCCCCCGAAAGAATCTTGAGGTTGGAAGAGAAAATCCGCCATAGAAGAAATGAGCAAATACCACGATTTCGTGTGTGTCGGGGGTCGGGAATGCTTCGCCGAACGCCGGTCGCCACCCGATAATCTCCTTCGCTGGGAGAACGCCGTGCGCCACCATCTCCTTCAGATTATCTTCTGTCACATCGGAGGGCGCCCACTGACTCTCGAAGCTTTCTCTTTCTTCCGCCATGAATGTGAACTGGATGGTTTAATTTGGTCTGAGATATGGCTGGAGAGGAATGGGGAATCGGAGCGGTGGACGCGGGGAGAAATTTCGCGAAGTTTTTGAGGGTGGGTTGGAGCAGATTGATGAACCCTAGCTTCGTCGGCGTGGTTCTATACTGTAGCACGGAGTGGGGAATGGCGAGAGTCTCGGCGGGGAAGACGAAACGACGTTTGGACTTCGGTGTTTTTAGGGTATCGGAAGTACTAATGGGCCTGGGCCTATACAGTACTTCAGCCCAATTATGTTTTCAGCGTGGCCCATTGTGATCCCTAGGGACTTAGGCGCTTTTTGCTTTGGCAATATGTGCTCATAATGATGTGGCCCGATGCTATTAAAATCCTTTTTAACGCGATTCAATAATTCTTTGGAATTATTATGATGCATATGAAAAGGTGCCCGATAGAAAGGTGTTATACCATTTTTGTAAGCTTTTTTAGGCTGCAAAAGCTGTTTGGGTTGATTTGAGATGACTGATTTATTAATAGCCATTCTTTTAGCATGTTATATGCTTATTTTGGTTATGGTAAGGGTCACAGCCTAGGCTATTAGAGTCATTAATTACCATGATTTTCTATCATGTTTGGTGGATCATTTTATGAGATTTTTACTCAGATTTCTATCGAACATGTCTATTTCTGGACCTTTGAGTGTTTATCACTCGGCCCTTCTTGTATTTTTTGTCCTTGATAAGTTCAAGTTGAGAAACAGTCGGCTGGGTATCTTACTAAGTACCATGCGGGCTTCGCTATAAAACCACTCGGTTCTTGACTATATGTTTAGTTTTTCAACTAATCACATAGTCGGGGGCTACACCTAATTAGGTGCATCTACTCGATGCACCATGTTTTATTTTCGCCCTTCACAGTCTTTTAGCACTCGGCGAGCCGGAGCAAGTTGAATTGAAGCACTCGGATTATTGTTTTTTTGTTTCGAGAAGACTATTTTGGTCAACTGCGAAGGTCTCGGGGGCTACTGTGGAGATTATGGTTACCCCATATCTACATGGCGGTTATATTCCAGCTGGATATATGGTACCAAATATAGATAGAATATCTTTATGAGGACTTGGGTTAGATTCTAAACTTGTATGTCAAGAAAATACCCGGGATCCTAGTCGGTTACGATTGTATTTTATCTGTAATCCCATATTCCGTTAGGATATGGACTGTACTTTGTAATACGGATCCCTTCCCCTATATAAGGAGGTGTCCGGGTTCCTCTTGGGACGATTCTTTTTTCTCCTAATCATACAATCAATAACACACTCGGCGGAATTATCCCCGGACAGGAGTAGAGTATTACTTCTTGAATAAGAAGGCCTGAACCTGTATAAAATTCCTTGTCTCTAAACCCATCCACTTTCCTAGCTTGACAGCCACCCCTTTTTATTATTGCCGAAATCTTGTTTCGACAATATCGGCCTATTCTCAACTCAATTTTTTTATATATGGTTTATAGTTCAAAAAGTACAAAAGAAAAACATTGTTCTATCTATTCGCACTAAATATGCTAATGCATTCCTCTTCCTTTTCAATATATCCTGCAGAGCTCATGATGTCACCGTTTCAAAAAAAAAAAAAGCTTATGCATAATCCCTACTACCTCTATCCCAGAATATAAGCATGTTTAGAGTTGAACACGGTTATTAAGAAAGTTGGTAGAATTAAATGGAAGAGTGTTGTGATTGGAGGAAAAATAGAGGTAGGTAGAAAAACTGAATGGTGGAGGATTGTGATTGGTTGAGAATAGAATGTTGGTGGAGAAGTTGTTATATTTTGAGACAAATTCTAAAGGCTATAAGTTATTATATTTTGGGACGGAGGGAGTAGATATTTTCTGCTCCTTTGCCCTGATATGCATGCATGGTCAGTTATTCATTTCTTACGAAGGCCTTCCTCTAACAAGTTATTTGGTTTGTTCATTATCATAATAATGGAATGACAAATCTCACACCTAATATATGCTAAAGCATAGCATAGCAGTGCAGAGCATGAATATGCATGTGCAGGTAGACATTGGCAGGAGAAGAAGCAACTAGACATGGTATTATGTTTTGTAATTCAGCCACTTCTATTTATAACCCACCGTAGTTGTGCTGTGAAATTGTGGAGTTCACTAAATTTGAAGGCGAAAGTTAGTTCACTCTATGCCTCTGAAGCACTTGCACGCTACATACGGTCTAGTTTTGCTATGAGATAGTGGAGTTCACCTAATCCTCAAGCGAAAGTTAGTTTTGGCGCAATTGCACGCTACAAGCGGCTCGTTCTGATCTGAGCTGTTCTTTCTCTCATTCGATGCAAATGTTGATCACACTCATCTGTTTGATTAGCGAGAATGATGAGGATGAATGTGCTTGGCGCCATCGACAACTCAGTCATGAGTCACAAGCAACAAGATCGTGATGGACTGAACCAAAGTTCACTAGTGATCACTCGTGAATTGCGATAGTGGTCATCAGCTCCATTTTCAATTTTTTTTTCTTGAGGATTGTTTTTATTGAGCTAACTACTAACCAATGCGAAATAATAGCGGACCGACAAGATGTTGGCAGATGAGCATGAAGATGACCGCCGACTGGCGGTTAAGATCGTTTCTATATATATCCTGAAATTTGATTGATGAGATCGTCTCTATATATCCTGAAATTTGATAGGAAAGGAGAATGTTACTAAGGGTGTTTTTGGTTGTGTTGCAGCTTTTGGAAAAGCTGCTGTGGGCTATAACTTTTTAAAAAATAGATTTGGAAAAGTAGTTGTGAGGAAGCCAAAAGTTCTTTATACACGTGGCTTTTGGAAAAGCTTCTTCCCTAACGAGTGGACCCCACATGTCGTCTAAATAGTAGTTTTCTCCTTCCTCCTAGCACAGCAAAGCAGGGGATGGTTACGGAAAAAAATTTGGTGCATACCGGATGCAAACCTCAATCCGTGCGTACCCGAGTCAGATGTGCGACGCGTGGATGAGGCGTGCATCCGACGGCCGGCACGCACGGCTGGAGCCGCAGCATGATAAGGGTCAGCTCAGCTCGCTCGTATCGGCTCCAACAACCAGAACGAAGCGGAGTCAACGAGCTGGACGGCTCGCCTTTCCTCCGGCCGCAACTCCGCTTTCCCCTTCCCGCTGCCGCCGCGATCTCCCTCCCTATCTCGACTCCATCGGATCGTAATTGCCTCTCCTCGACGTCGCCGGCTCGCTCTTTCACTATCTCCTCCGTTATCTATCGATGCGGCCACCTCTCCGTATGCCGCCGCTGCCTCATCCCCTGTGTTCTCGTCCTGACCACGGGCGTTGTAGGTGACGGCAGTGGCGGCAAGGTCATGTTCAGTGCAAAGCATTTGCTGCTCATGTAGATGATTCCACCAATGAAAACAATGCTCATTCTCTTGCAGGTTCTTATCCTGGATTCGGCAATCAGTAAGATGGCTGATCATTCTAAAAAAATAATAGCTGATCATTCTCAAACCATGAATTTGGTAGCTATGTATGAAATGTGAAAACATCTATATTGTTTCAGAAAATTTCTAGACATGACATCACATTCCAGATTGAACATCAAGACTTTAGATTACACAATATTGCATATTTTCTTTTTGAAAGGAATCAGATAAACAACCACAATTTTTTTATCACATCAATCCACTGCAGATTTCATAGCATCCAACACGTCATACTTATTTCAGATAAAAAAAAAACTGCATTGTACAGATATTTGCAATTTGAACCAAAAAAATGGGTTTCAAATTTATAGCATCTGGACTACAATCCTTGCAAACTCTTAACCATGTACAGGCTATACATAGTACATATTACAAAGAAAGACTACATACATCAGGCAAAACTAACTACTTCCACACACATCAGCTCCCAGAATAAATTCCTTCAGAAAGCAGCATGTCTTCACTCTATTGTTCTGTCTTTGGTTGTTCTATGGTATTTCTTAAGCGGCCTCTTGTTCATTTTAGTCTTTCTAATCTTGAATCACCAGCAATGCTGCACCCCACATATCTCACCTGCAAAGATGGTGTATGTAAAAATGTAATGAGCAATTTACTTGGGAACCAACTCCCATGACCGGAAGAATCAACCTGTATGACTAAAGAATATACAATCAATTTTTTAGGGCACGCAAACTCTAAGAATCAGGATGGTGCAATCGATTTGAGGGCATGCTTGCATCAATTGACTGTATATGGAAAAAAATTGAGTGTATATGAACAAGCAGTACATCAATGGCATACCACCTATCAGGCAGGAAGAATCATACTACATCTGAAGCTATTTGTTATTCCTGAAACAATTGAATATAAATGATGACCTGGGGATGTCAAGCAGCCACCTTCACGAGGAATGACAGCAGCGGCCTCCTGCACGAGGAGGAAGATGGCATCGGCCGTGGGCTATCCGGCTGGAGGCGTTCGTAAAGCGGTGGTGCGGTTCGACGGAGAGAAGCGGCCGGCGGGCAGGTAGGTAGCACCGTCCCGCGCGTGGAGGAAGGCAACGGCACCGAACGGGCTCCGGTCCTCCGGACGAGAGAGGCGGCGGCGGGATCACGAAACAGGCGGTGGGGAACGGCGGAGAGGAACTGTTTTGGGGAGCCTAGCGCTCTGAGCGAAGCGGCCCTAGTTAGGCCGAGCCGAGAGGAGCGAGCACGAGCCGCGCGTAATGCATCGAGATCAGCCGAGCCGAGCGGAGACGCGGCTGTGCGCGCAAGGTACAGGCCGGCCGCCAGATGCACGCCTCATCCACGCGTCGCACATCTGACTCGGGTACGCACGGATTGAGGTTTGCATCCGGTATGCACCAAATTTTTTTCCGATGGTTACGCCGGCGGCTGGCCGCACTCGCCGGCTGGGGCTGACCCGCCCCGCCGGTGTGGGAAGGCGGCTCGCCGGAGTAGAGGAGCGGATGTCTTCTCTTCGCATCGCCATCGCCATCGCTTGATGTACTCTCTCCTCCTCGTCCGCGAGGAGCGGCGGCAGCGGCGGAAGGAGGTGGTGGAGTCGGGGACAGGGAGGGCGGGGACGGCCGCGGCGGTGAGGAGGAGGAGCGGCGACGGCGGGGCAGCTCAGCGAGGAGGAGGAGCGGCGGCGGCGGCTCGGTGAGGAGGAGCGACGCGCGATGGGAACGGACGGGAGAAAAAAAAGAACGAAGCGAAATGTTTTTTTCTAATGGCAAAGGTGGGTAATTTTTTTTTCCAAAAGCAGGTGAAAGCGTAGGGTAGAGATTATTTTGATTTATACTACACCAAAAACTGGCTTGGAGCAAAAGCAGCTGTGGCTTTTGGGTCCTTTGGTTGGCTTTTGGCTTTTGCAAAAGCAAAAGCAGGTTGAAAAGCCTAACGAAACACACTCTAAAATCATGTTTATGAAAGAAATGAAATGACAGTGTTTAATACTAATTCTGGACGAGTTGCTCAAACGAGAATGAAAAGCTACATCAAACCGGACTTTGCTACCATTCTTTTGGGCGAGCATTCTCCTCTACAAATTAATTAGAGCTGAGATCAGAAAGTTATTCTGAAAAAAGAAAGATTTTGTATATATCCCTATTCTGACCTCAATTTTTTTTATATGTTTAATGTCAAAAAGAAAGCAACACATACGTCAATGTATTTATTTATTAGCATTTCTACATATTTGCTGCTCCTTTACATCATATGCATTGTCTGTCATGAATTCCTTAGATGATCGATCGAAGCCCTCACCCGGACACACACATGTATGAGTTTCAGTTGTTTCCTCCAACAAGTCATTTTGTTTGTTCATCATCACAGTAATGGAATGACAAATTTCACATCTAATATATGCTAAAGCATTGCATAGCAGTGCAGAGCATGAATATATATGTGCTGGTAGGCATTGGCAGGAGAGGAAGCAACTAGACATGGCGTTTTGTTTTGCAATTTAGCCACTCTTCTATATAACCGACAGTCGTTTTTGCTACGAATCGAGACAGTGGAGTTCACCAAATCCAGAGGTGAAAGTTAATTTTTTCTATGCCTATCATGCTGGCACACTTGCATGCTACAAGAGGACGGTCCTAATACAAGTTGGTCTTTCTATCTTGCGGTGCAAATGTTTGAAGCACACACATTGGCCTGATTGGCAAAACTGATGAATATGAAGGTGCTTGAAGCTATCGGCAATTCACCCATAACAAACAAGATTATGATGGACTCAACCGAAGTTTGTTAGTGATTGCTCTTGAGTTGTGACGACGGTGAATTTTTTTATTTTCATATTTTCTTTTTTTATTATTGTTTCCAAATGTCTCAAAATTTGAGAGGAAAGGAAAACACACATGAGATAAAAGAAGAGAAATACAAGATCAAACGTTAGATAATTTGAGGACATAGGCAACTGTTGAGGTCGCTGCGTCGGGTGAATGGTAATCTCCCGGCTGGAGGAGACAATGGATTATAAAGAAGATAATAAGACTTCATACTTTTCTCAAACCACACTTTTAAAAAAAGTTTCGGTTGGTGAAGCACATAGAAATAAAAAAATTCGAGTGTAATTCGAGTCAAAAGACAGAGAAATATAAATAAGTCGAGTGATGATAAAGAAAAGAGAGAAAGAACTCTAGAGTGTGATTGGAGTCGAATTAATAAATTGAAATAAAGAGTGTAATTGGGCCGACTAAGGCCCTGTTTGTTTCAGCTTAGGATTATTATAATCTGGATTATTAGGAGTAAGCCGAAACAAACATATACCTTATTATAATAGATTATTATAATTTATAAGCCAGATTAATATAATATAATATAGTAATCCACTCTAAAGGTGTTTTTTTAGATTATTAGGTGGCTAACACCAAACAACCAGCTAATAATCCAGAGAAACAAACAACTAATAGCTTATTCTACGTCGGCTTATTATAATCCAGCTTACAGTAATCTGACTCAATAATCCATATTACAAATCTTTAGCTAAAACAAACAGGGCCTAAAGCAGTGATAAAACTTAAAGGAATAATTCTATTTGGCCTTCGTTTGTATTGCTTCCAGTTGAATCCCCTTTCCCAGACACAAAACTGGGTATAACGCCTCCCCATATTTGAAAACCGGTGCAAATTAACTCCTTCAGTGATTTTGGAAATGATTTCTACTAGAGTGGCAGTTTGACAATGGTTGACTCGCTAAGTCGATCAGCAAATGTAACCCACATATTAGCGACTTCCACCTCATCTCATCTTCTTACATCTCCCACTGTCTCTCTCTTTCATGTCTTCCTCCTATCTCATCTTCCAGTGGCTTGTCAATAGGGATGAAAACGGAGCGGATAGTTTCCGTCCGCTCTGGACAAAAACGGATACGGATACCTTTCGGATCGGATAATTCTCGGATATTTCGGATACGGATACGAATATGGATATTTTCTCCCGGATACGAATACGAATATGGTATCAAGGTTTCCGTCGGATACGGATAATAATTCGGATATCCGGTGAACAGTGCTATTCGGATATCCGCAGGACCCATGAGACATACCCCATTTCTTTCTAACTCTATAACCTTCAATATACCTTTATAGATTTTAATAGTAGTTTATCTCTTAATACTAGTCCATACTATTAATATTATTTAAATTTTAAAAAATATTTATAAATTATACCTCATTTTATATAAAATAAGCTAATTATATATGTTGATATTTATTTCTATTAGAAGTTGAGTTGGTTTTCGTGTTCCGAGAAAAATTTGTTTCCGTATTCGTGTCCGATCATATTCGATTCTTATTCGTATTTGAGATAATCCGTATTTGTTTCCATATTCGTTTTCGTATCCGGTAAAAAATATAAAAACGAATATGGTATGAGCATTATCCGTCCGTATCCGCTCCGTTTTCATCCCTACTTGTCAGCGAGCAAGTTCCTTCCCACCCGCGTCGCGGTCAGCGACCCCCCCCCCCCCCCCCCCCTCTGAGCACAGCCGGTCTGCGAGCTCCTTCCCCTTTGCCCCCTGGCCAGAGGGCTCCTCAGTGCACGTGCATGAAGCCGCCCGACAAGCTCCTCCCAGCGCGTGTCATGGACGGGGATTCCTCCTCTTGAGCGTAGCCGATCAGCAATCTCCTCCATTCTCGCGTTGTGGCCAGCCAGGTCCTCCCCGCGTGCGTGCGGACAACCACTGAGCTCCTCATCCACACAACACGACCAGCAAGGCCCTCTCTGTATGCGCAGCCGGCCAACGAGCTCCTGCCCTGTGCGCCCAATTGACCAGGTCTTCCCTGGGTGCACAGTTGGCCAGCTCCAACGAGCTCCTCTACCGTAGACTGTAGTAGGCAAGGTCCTCTATGCGTGCGCGGTCGGCATGCGAGCTCCTCTCCTGCGCGCCTCGACTGGGCAGGTCCTCCTAGTGTGCACAACTGACCGGCTAGGTCCTGCATTGCTGATGGAAGGTGAGAGAGGACCAACAGAGAAAATATAGGGAGGGAAGAGGTGGGAAAGAAGACGATACAAGGTGGAAGTTGCTAACATATGGGTCCCACATATTGTTTCAACAAGTCAACCGCGATCAAACTGCCATGTTGGTAGAAACCACTTTCAAAACCATCGAAGGAGTTGATTTGCATTGGTTTTTGAAGACGAGGGAGACATTATACCGGTTTTGCGGTTGAGGGGCACGATTCAACATGAGCGTGAGAGGGAGATAAAATAGACGTATTCCAAAATTAAAAGTCTAAAAGATAAGCAGTATTTTCTGGGCCGACTAAAGTATGGGCCGTGGTCCGATGGCACTCGCCGTTACATATCATTTGCATTACTGACAAGTGGGGGTTAGCGTTAGGTGGGACCCAACACGTCAGCATCAGAAGAGAGTTAATAATTCGGTCACGCCCGTACGAATACCACTATGTACTCCTAATTAAGAAAAACAAAGTACTCTATAGTCACAAAAAGGTTAATGATAATTTGTTAGTTGGAGTGGGCTTGTCTTGTCCGTGTTTAGTCTTCCTCCTCCAGTCTCTTCCTTTTGGTTGGGAGACCGCCGGTGGGCCCCACTCAGATCGATCGGCCGTCGGATTCACGCAACACAACGCATGCATCCATGCAAAGAAGCAAAGGTCAATTAGAGCAGATACAGTAGCGGGCTATAAGCCAGCTATAAACATATTTTTAAATAATAAAAGAAGAAAGAGAAAAACAGCGGGCTACAAATCTGTAGCCAGCTGCAGCACAGACTTTAAGATGTAACGAGTGTATGACATATATGACCGGGTATTAATAGTATAGTAAGCAACTATTGTATGAATTGGCTATTACACTGGCTCTAGATAATTTGTAGCTAATAGTTGGCTATAGTATTAAACTTGCTCTTACTCGACTATAGTCCACTCCACGTAGTATGCACAATCAAGCCGAGTAATTGATATCCATGCTAATTTTATACTAGCCCAATTTAATTAATTAATGAAGCAACGTCGCCGTCGACATGGAGTATATAAATAAATTTTGGGTTATTTATATAGTACAAGAAGTACACTATAGAGCACTATTTTCTAGGCAAGCAAAGCTCCATCACCACCGACGCCGTAAATATATACTTCTTGGAGTATATGTATGGAGTATGTACCGATTGAGATAAGGTGTAGTTATACTTGCAATTGCAAGATACCACTGCACATAATTTTGACCGTCCGTTTGTAACTTTGTATGATTAATGGTTCAGATCAAATGCTACAGTAATCATGCGAATAATACTCCGTGCTGTACTGTATGCGTCGTACAGTATATAATCTAGACT